GAGAGATGAGGGTTCTGAGAAAGACGAGAAAATTGTTAAAGAGACGAGAGAGCTGTAAAAGAGACGAGAAAGGCGAGAGTGAGGCGAGACCTAGAAGACACTTAATTCTTCGACGGCGACTACATAGACATTTACTTCCTCGATGGCAAAGATCTAAACAATACGTAGACACTTAGTTTCTCGACGGTAAACTCATAGACACACATTTTTTCGATGGCGACCATGTAAACATTCATTTTCTCGATGGTGAAGATCTAGAAGACGCGTAGATACTTAGTTCCTCGACGACGAACACGTAGACATTTACTTCCTCGACGGGGAAGACCTAGACGTCACCTAGATACTTAATTCCTCGACGGTAACCACGTAGACATTCATTTTCTCGACGGCGACTACGTAGATATTCACTTCCTCGACGGCGAAGATTTAGACGACACTTAAACACTTAGTTCCTCGACGACGAACACGTAGATATTCACTTCCTCAACGGCAAAGACCTAGACGTCACCTAGACACTTAAATCCTCGACGACGACCACGTAGATATTCACTTCCTCGACGGCGAAGATCTAGATGACACGTAGACACTTAGTTGTCGACGGCGAATACGTAGACACTCACTTCCTCGACAGCAAAGACCTAAACAACTCTTAGACGTTTACTTCATCGACGGCGAAGACAACACCTAAAACACTTAGTTCCTCGACGGCGAACACTTAGACACTCACTTCCTCGACGGCGAAGACCTAGACATCATCAGACACCTAGTTCCTCAATGGCGAATACGTAAACACTCACTTCATCGACGGTGACCACAGAGAGTTGTGAGAGAGACGAGAGAGTAGAGAATCAGACGAGAAAGTCGTGAGAGAAACGAGAAAGCCAGGAGAGAGACGTGGGACAAGAGTGAAATTTTGCGACAAAGAAGATGACGACGATGATATAGCAGACCAAAGAGACCATACAACATTGAAATTTTACAAAAATTTAGCGAAGAAAAAGACAACAAGGCGACAACAAAGGCAGCAAAATTAAATAAAATTATATAAATTATAGACGAAAAGGGACAAGATTGAAAAATTTTACGACGACGACGACGACGAATCTGAATGACAAAATCGGGCAAAAAAATGCATACACTTTATGCGCTTATGCATGAAATGCACTTATGGACATCGTTATTACAGCATTATGATTGGAAAAATATAGATTTTTTCACGAAATAGGCATTTACCGATAATATTCATATAATTAAAAGTGTTATAGCCCAAAGGCTATCGCGCGATAAATTTTGCATTTCGGCAACGCATGCACAGCAGCGAGCGGAAATGCAAGAATGCAAGCTCGCGAATTCCTCGCGAGCGAACGCAAATCAAGGTCGCGTGGTAAGACGACACCTTACTTCCCATGCCCAAATATGGTCCGATCGCGGACCATCGCGAGGTGAAATAAGATACCGAGAAAATCCTACATAAGGGGCTGCCTAATCATGCGCCCGAGAGAGTTCGATTGAGAGAGTAAAACCGACGTTACGCGCCGCGATCAAGTTGCACGACACCGGGTGCCGGCAGGACAGCCGCGACGCGAACGTGAACATATACGTAGTCACGACCTTAGTGTTGAAACGGAAACATAGTTATAATATTATCGGGGAACTATTTGTACCCAAAAAGGGGAAATAAAGTTAATTAACCGTAAAACAGCGTCAAGTGATTGTGTCCTCGCTCCTACTCCGCGTATCCTCGTGGGTTCCTATCTCAGGCGGACCGATCCCCAAAATTATTCCTTAATGCACCGAGAGATACAACAAAAGATATAATAATTTATTCCTGCAGAAACGTTATCCGTCCGGTAAAGGATACACTGTAGCTCTGTATGACCATCATGTAACGAAAAAATATACTTGGCGGGAGCCGCTACCGCGTCTCCTGATAGGAAAAGGTAAGACGGACAAGTTGAAGGGTGTAGAGGCAGGGAAAATGGAGGTAAAGGAATGGATAAAGTAGAAAAGTAAGAATTCGGGGATGTAAAAGTAGATAGGTAGTAGAGGTTAAAGCAGCGAAAAGGCGGGAAGTGTTGATTGCGTGGATAAGTAAGAAAGACAGTAAAGGTAAGACAGTATAGAGATGTAATAAATTGTAAAGATATGAAAATAGAAGGAAGAAAATTAGGTAAAGTAAAAGATAGGATTATGGAATGTAAAAGGAGGAAGGTAGTAGAGGTTAGAGCGGCGAAAAGGCGGGAAGTATTGGTGACGTGGATAATTAAGAGAAGCAGGAAACATAGAACAGTATATAGAGATGTAATTAATTGTAAAGCTATGGAAATAGAGAAAAGGAAATAGATAAAGTAAAAGATAGGATTTTGGAATGTAAAAGGAGGAAGGTAGTAGAGGTTAGAGCGGCGAAAAGGCGGGAAGTATTGGTGGCGTGGATAATTAAGAGAAGCAGGAAACATAGAACAGTATATAGAGATGTAATTAATTGTAAAGCTATGGAAATAGAGAAAAGGAAATAGATAAAGTAAAAGATAGGATTTTGGAATGTAAAAGGAGGCAGTAGCAGAGGTTAGAGCGGCGAAAAGGCGGAAAACATAGGTAGCGTAGGTAAAGTAGAAAGGTACTCGTAGGACAGAGTAGGAAGAAAATATATATATGTAAAGGAATAGTTTAAGCGTTGCAATAGGAGAAGAGGAAGAACAAGAAGAATGTGGAGACAGGAACAATGCTGACAATAGAGGATGGAATCTGGAAGTAAAAAACCACAAGGATAAGAAATTAGGAGAAGAAGTGGAGCAAAAGGAAACGGAAGAGGAAGAAAAAGAGCAGAAAGAAGGAAAGGGAAGGAAAAAAGCAGAGAGGAGAAGAGAGAAGACAACACGGGAGGAATAAAAAGAGGAAAAGAGTAGGAAGATTCCGAAGAGCAAGAGAATAAGGAAACAGGAAAGGAGGCCAGGAGGATAGTGAAGAAAATAGTTATGTTTAGAATCAGAGGTTAGTTGGGCTTCAGTCGCGGGAAATGAATTAAAGGAAAGAAATAAATTAAATAATTGGTAATAGAATAGTGAATTAGAAGTGGATGTGTATAATGTAAAATATAGAAATGATAACGAAATTGAGAAATGTAAATGTTTAATGTAATAGAATAGGTGTAGAAAAATATTTAAAAGCAAAGATTTTGTAGTAGAATAGAAGTTTGATGTGTATAATGTAAAATATAGGAATGAAAATTGAGAAATGTAAATATAAATGTGAAATGTAACAGAGTAAGTACAGAAAGTATTTAAAATGGAAAGGATGATGTAAGATAAAATAAAATAGTGAGGAGATAAACGGATAGAAAGGAGTTCGAAGTCCCTTCGTTGGCTAAGGAACGCTGGAGGGGACAAGGGCTTAGTTGGCTAAGGTAGGAAATTTTGAAAATATAGAACAAATAAGGATAGAAATAGGAAAGCTAGTATTAGCACGATGATGGATTTGGTAGGTGAATGATTTAGATTTTTAATGGCCAAAATAGAAGGAATGGATGAATGAATGTGGATAAGTAAATTGTAAACCAAGTCCCTTCTATGGCTTCTGTAAAAGCTAGAAGTAATAAAGATTCTTCTTCTTCTATGTGTCATGCGGCGAAAAAGGAAGTGGCGTAACGCGTTGCACGCTAATTTATATCGGCGTTAGCTTAGGTCCACTGACGACCGTTCGTCACAAGTAATGTCCGATAACCGAAACGTGAAAAATGTCTTCCGTTTATAGACGTTTCTCGAACAAAGAGTCTCGGTTCGCGTTTGGCTTTACGTTCCGTTTTTCGTCACTCGCGGATGCCTGGGTCCATAATCTGATAGAATATGAGGGCAATAGGACGAAATCAAACTACGGATTGACGAACCTAAACTTTTATTATAATCACTGGATACAGAAAAGATTCGCAAACGATTGTGATAAAGAACACGCGTTTACATATGCCGTAGATAGAACATTCGATAATTATTTTTTCCAACACTTTCACAGCAATTCACTTTGTACAAATAGGACACATGTTACGTGGTTATTTGATGCAATGGACAGTTGCTTTCCCAGTAATAAATAACACCGTAGAATATAAACGTGATACGAAGTCTTCGCAGACGAGGATAGAAACGAAGATACGAGACTAGATCTTCCTCTCTAATGGTGCATGAGGAGTGTAACCATCTTTTTGGACTTTCATCTTCTTTGTTTATATAATAGAACTCAAGGTTGTACATTACATCATTATGCAGATTATCAATTTCATTTGGGTCCAATATATTATATTTTAATATTTTATGTATAATAACTTCTATTTCTTTGTTGTCCACACCACTATCGTTACTTGAGTCGTTTGAAAACTCATCTATATCCATCATTTCTTGATCATCTTTCTCATGCGCTACTTCTACCTCCATATAATCGTCGTGTCGTATCATTTCTTCGATATCTCTTTGTTGGCAAAGGCTAAAATCAGGCAAACGCGTGTTCGGTTGTATTATAACCTTTTTTTATTATAAGTACTTTCGTTGAAAATTAGCACTAATAGAAATAAGCGTGAAATCAAACGGAGAAAATACAAAGAAACAGTTTGAATTACAAAAATCAAAGCTCGGATATCTGCCGAGGTAGCTGAACGAAAAAAAAAAAAAAACTTATTCTCTACCTCATGGAGTTACTTCGCGGAGTTATGCCACTTGTCATCTTAACTTTCGAACTGCTGGAAACGATCTGCCGCCGGCAGAGCTCAGCTAGAGTCCTAGATTATCAGAGAAGCGCGACCGGCTTATGGCAGTATCGCAAAAGTACTAGAAAATATTAAAAATGGCGTCGAATGGCCAATCATAAGATTGATTTATTCGACAGCCATTTATAATACCAATAAATCAATCTTATGATTGGCCATTTGCAAGTCCAATCAGAACTCGTAACACCGGTCGCGCTTCTCTGATAATCTAGGACTCTAA